AATGGTACCAGGGATCAAACTCAGGACCTTGTGTTTGCCAGGCAAGTACTAATTCCACTGAGCCATCTCCCCAGCCCCTCTTTTCTTTCTTCTTTCTCTTTCTTTCTTTCTTTCTTTCTTTCTTTCTTTCTTTCTTTCTTCCTTTTTTCTTCAAGTAAGAGTAGAATAATGTATTGGGGACTAGAGATGGGGAAATGCGGAATAAAAATAGCTCCTGAGAGCCAGGAGGATTCTAAATGGGTTGCCGCCTCTCAAAGGAACTTTCATAAAGCAAAACCATGAGGTGGGTCAAAATTAGAACCAACCAATAAGACTGCAAGTGTAGCTGCTGAATAGTGATCTAGTGGTAGCAGGGGACCCAGGTGACGTCATCAACCTTGGTTGATGATCTGTAGTCTCGGGCGTCACGATCTCAGTCTTAGCAAGGGAAGAGGAGGGCCCACCCAAGTGAGATCCTGGGAGAGCTCAAAAGGCAACGCAGAGTTTCATGTGGATTTCTCCTTGTCTGGTTAATATCATGTTACTAGGGCTGGCGAGATAACTCAGTGAGCTAAACACCTGCTTAGTCAGGCAGGGTCCCGGGTTCGATCCCTGGTACTACATGCCAAATACATTAAAAATAAATAAATCAATCAATCATGTTATTACACTGTTTTATTTTTTAATCATTTATTTATTTATTTATTTATTTATTTATCTAGTACAGCATCTCACTACGCAGCTCAAGTGACCTCGTACTGATCTTCCTGTCTCAGCCTCCCCAGCACTGGGATTACAGGCATGTACCACCACATGCAGGGTTCCAGAGCCAGCACAGTCTGCCACACTGAGGATTGAACCTGGGTGCTTGCCTTTGCCAGGCGGGTGCTCAGACCGCTGCACAATCTCCCCAGTACCTACACTGTCTTAGATTAAACCAGCCTGAATTCTTGGGACAAGTCCCACTTGATCATGGTGTGTGATCTTCTTACGATGACACTGTTGTTAGTTTGCTAGTATTTTGTTCAAATTTTACATGTATATTCATGAGGGACATTGGCCCATCATTCCTCTCTCTCTCTCTCTCTCTCTCTCTCTCTCTCTCTCTCTCTCTCTCCTCCACCCTTAATATCTTGACACCATAGTAACACTTACACTAGAACTTTTTCTGCGGAAAGTTAGGAAGTGTCCCTTCTACTTCTATTATTTGGAAGTCTGAGAAAGACAAAGTAGCTGATAGTATTCACTGCTCAAGCCATCTGGTCCTCAGCTTTTCTTTGTTGAGAGTTTTTTTTTTGGTTTGGTTTGTTTCTCATTGTTGTGAGACAGGATCTTGCTGTGTAGTCCAGGCTGGTATTGATCTCACAATACAGCCCAGGCCCTAAGCTCATGGCGATCCTCCTGCCTCAGCCTCTGGGCTCTGGGATGACTGGCGTGCCCCACTATGTCCAGCAGGTCACATTCTCTGCTTCTGCTTGATTCTTCAGAGGTTATTTTGAATTTCTGTATTTTATTTCATTCTAACGATATTTTGCATATTTAATCTCACAAAGAATCATATAGTAGACTTTTAAATAACTATTAAACAGGGCCGGGGAGATGGCTCAGTAGAGTAAGTGCCTGCCTGGCAAGTAGAAGGGCCTGAGTTCAATCCCTGGTTCCATAAATAAATAAATAAATAAATAAATATTAAACAAGAATTCACTATTACAAGATTTCCTTCTCAAGCTTAGCTAAAGATTATCAGATAAAATTTAGTCATAATTTATGATACATTGCTGATGAAATGTAATCATCTTGAGGGCAGGGAGATAGCTCAGCAGCACAGCACCTGCCTGGCAAGCGCAAGGTCTTGAGTTTGATTCCTGGTACCAGAAAAAAGTAATCATTTCAAAATATCGTTTCTTTCAGATATGAAGGGTTGAACATAACCAAACTGTATGATGGGCCATGTGTAAGTAAAGTCACTTCATTTTCAATATTAGTGGTGAACCATAGCTCCGCGGACTAAGGCGCCTGCCTAGGGGAGCTCAACGCTGCGCCAGCCCCGGCCCCGGGCGCGCAGAGACAGCGCCTGAGACTGGGTGTGGTGGCACTCGCCTGTAATCCAGTTCCTGGGAGGCTGACAACAGGAGACTCACTACAAGTCAGATCTACGTAGTGAGACCTGGTAGACCCTGCAAACCCTGTACCAAATACGTAAGAAAAAACAGTGAACCAGATGCAGTTAGGAATTCACTGGGGCCGGGGATAGCTCAATAGAATAAGCACTTGCCTGGCAAGCGCAAGGGCCTGAGTTCAATCCCCAGTTCCGCAAAAAAAAAAAAAGTGTTCACCGCTGTTGATGATTTTAATGTTTTATTATGAAAAATTTCGAGCTAATAACAAGTAAAAGTTAAGCTAATAACATAATGCAGCCTACATATCTATGATATAGTCAACATTTGTGAAGTTTTTTCCACTTTTTGTTGTTGTTATTATTTTTAAACAAGGTCTCACTGCACGTCAGGCTAGTCTTGAACTCAAGGCGGTCCTCCTGCAGCTGCCCCCTGAATACCAGGATCACAGGCTTGCACCACCACGCCCCTCCTTGCCATTACAGCCCCCGATTAGCTCTTGTGGACTGCTAGGACCTACTTCCTGTTTAGAATCTCCCAGCCACCTAGAAAGCAGAACCCTCTGGGGAGACTGTCTTTTTGACCCAATCACTTGGTGGCAGAGACTAACATCTCAGCCTGTCCCTCACCTGCTGTTCCCGAAGCCCAAGGGTGACAGAAGACCCCAATCCATGTGAAGGACCAGGTAGAGCTGTTGTGTCCTTGAATTTAGAGTCCCAGGAGGACGCCGCTGGTACCCTCACTCTCCAGGACTGGGACCAATCATTGGATGAGAGAAAACAGGTAAAGTAGGACAGTTACATAATCTATAATACTCTCAAAAAACATTTCTTGGGCTGGAGAGATGGCTCAGTGGTCTAAAGCACCTACTTGGAACAAGCTTAGCAAAAGCATCAGGGACCGCGGTTCAATCCCCCAGCACCACATGCCAGCCAGCCCTGCCCCCTGGTGGGCTGAGCTGGTCTCT